CTCTTGGCTCTGCTGGCAGCACTGGATGGTCAATCTGAGGCCTGGAATGGGCTCATCAGTCAGTCTCTGCAGAGCATTCTTTCATGTTCTCTGCTCTTTGGGTGTCTGACTTTAGCCTTCTACCTCCACCATTGTCCTTCAGCCTGGTGTTCTAGTGACCAGGCTTGCACAATCAAGTCCTCTTCTCTCTGTGCCTCTGTCTTGAAGTCTAAGCTTACTCTTTGTGAGGCAGCAGAGAATCCACTGTGAGACTGCTCTCAGGACAGGCACAGGAATGTTCTGCTCATAGATTTACTCGGTCACTGCTTGGCTCTCTTTTCCATGTCCCTCTATACAATGAGTGAGTCCCACCTTTCTGCACAGACTTCTGAGTGATGAGCCCATTCCTCCCAGTGCTGAGGCCCTGGGGCCTTTGCTCTAGAGTGGGACCTGGAGGGTTTGGTGCCTGCTGCACCTCTTGGGCTACAAAACTCTGTCTGCCGCAGCAGTGAAATGGGATGAGATCTCAGCTAAGGGTCCTGCCCTGGCTGTCGGTGCAGGAGCAAGAAGTCTTACGTGTGGAAGTTTTACATGAGGCAGAGGCTCAAAGAGGCAGGCAAAACAGGAAGGTGAGAGGTCAGGCTCTACCTTCTGCAGAATAGCTGTAGGGAGAGAGCCAGAGGCAAAGCAGGAAGAGAAGCAAGCAGCAGTGAGTAGGACAGGTACGTGCAAAGGGCCAGGGAATTCCCATCTACCAGCATTTTCTACCTACATTTCTATTCTCTCCACTTTGATCCCCCAGCAGCCCGTTACTGCATCCAAAGCCACCTGTGAAGAGGAATATTTTTAGAGCAGCCCTGGCCCAGGTCCCTTCCAGGGAGTAAGACAGGGCAGGGACATTAATTACAGGACTGTGAAGCAGATTTGACAGGTTTTGTGTGCTACTGTGTGAGGTGACTCAGAAATAAAATTACTAGTTGGTGTTTATCCCAGGGGTTCAGGACAATTGAACGAATCTATACTGATTCCAAGTGTGGAACCATTCTTCAAACCAGTGTCTGTGATTCTGAGGGACTGATCACCTGAGCTTGTTTGTGCCTCGGTTCACCCCTTGCTCTGCTGTCCCCCTCCCCATGGAAGTACCTTTATCTCCTGGCTGATGTCCTTCCTCTCCAGCAGAAGCTCAGAGAAGGCTTGATGTGCCAGGAGGCGCTTTGTGGTGGTCTGCACCAGCAGCTGGATGGCAGTGGAGATGCTGGTCAGGGTGGTGAGGAGGAGAGAGGCATTCTCCAGTCGGTAGTAGCAGACAGCATCTATCTCCAAGGTCACCATGTCTTTGGTCACCACCTAAGTAGAAGACATTAGGGGAGATGGAGTTGGTTCTGGCAATTCTAAGGTAGCACAGAAAAGCCCACAATTAAGAGAATGATGAAGACTAGCTGAATGGTTAAGTCTCTGTAGCTTCTGTCTCTGTTACTGACTGATCTTGGGCAAACTATACAAACTTTGGATCTCAGAGATTATTTTGAGATGTTTTTTTCAAACTTTTCTTTGCAGGGATGAAGGTTGGAACCATAAGATGTAATGTTAAAGAGGTCCAAAAATGAATAGAGAGTGAGTGTCAGCTGTACCTGGTGGAAGGGGATCTCTAGGGTTTTGAGGCGGAGGTCTATCTTGTGATACGTGTCCAGACAGGGAAGGAAAAAGAAAAGACCTGTAGGAGGGAAGAGAAAGGCAGCTGGTGATCATCAGAATCACAGAAATTACCTCTTCTGCTCTGGAAAGCAGGGGAGGGTTTGGCATGCCGAACTACAAAGGAATAACAATAGATAGGCTCAAATTCTGAGGCTGCTTCTGTGATGGGGAAAAGGCATTAGAAGCTACTGGCCCTTAAGAGGAAGGGAGCAAAACCATCCCATCTCCTGTTTGGAGGGCACTGCTTGGAGGCACCAGCATGTGAGCCAGGGTAGAGCATGAAAAAGAGGAGCAGCATGGCTGGGAGGAGCTCAGCAAACACCTTACCAGGTCCTTTGGCTCTGCCAGGAAGGAGGTGCCCAAGTCGGAAGACGATGGCTCTCTCATACTCACGCACTACCTGCAGAGGGAAACAAAAGCTAGGCTGGAGAGGAAGGACTGGCAAAAGCAGCTTCAAGGGCTTGGGAGGAAGTCTGCTCTGGAAAATCCCTGCAAAGGGAGGATTTCAGCAGGTATGAACTACTGGTGTCACCTGTCACTGAGTCCCTCTACCCCTTGCCCAGCACTGTTTGCTGTCTTTGTGTGTGAGCAGGTCTGTGACAGCCCGAGACTTGGTGAGAGCAGCCCATGTCAGACCCACCCAGGGGTTCCCAGGCATTCTGCTGCCTTATAGCCTGGCCAAATTTGAACACCCTGAGATAAAATTTTCCATGTTGGTTGTTGCCCTCCAAGGGAACCATGCATGTATGTGCTCATGGGTGTAAGAGCTGAGCCATAATATTGGTATTATTGTTGATAACAAAATGCACATGAAATTTCCCGAGAAGTGGGAATCAAAATATGCCTACTTGTAGCCATGCTATAATTGTGAAAAAAAAAAATGGGAGGAGGAGGGAAAATTTGCCCTTTACCCAAGCTCCTGCCTGCTGATATTGCAGCAGGAGTATTTGACAGGCAGGGGTTGGACCCCTGTGCTGTTTCAACATGTGATAAGGGCTAAATCAAAATTAACGATGAGTTGAAGAGGTGTAAATAGGGCCTTAGACCAAAACAGCTTTATGTTCATGTCCAACACATGCTGAATCAGTGACTGACATCCACATCATACACCGAGTACTGAGGGAGGCCCCATGGCTAGTCTCACCTTCATGCAGAACCAGACAGAAATGGGGAAGGTCATTATGATGAGCAGGAAAGACAAGATGGTCAGAAGCCACTCACAGATGCCCAGACCAGGAGACTTCACACCTAAGGAGAAATCCAGCATGACTGTGTTAGGAGAAGACTTTCCCCAAAATACTGATAGCCTGACAAGTGCCTGCACAGGTTAGCTTTGGTGTTGTCCTTCGCATGAACTCCACTTGTGTGAACCACTTGGCTCTCTCTGGAGGTGAGTTAAGGAACACTCCCTGCTCCAGAGGGCCAGGAGCTGTGAGGATGGACAGACAGATTTTGTCTCTGCTTTACTGAGCCATGTTTCTCCACAGTTGCTTGACTACACAGCAGCCTTCATACTGAAGAACTGGGACTACCAAGCAGTGCTGAAAGGCTTGGAATGGGAAGCTTGGCTGAACTGGGATCCCTGAAGCTTATCTGGAAAGATAAGCTAAAGCAAAGAGAAAAACTGTAGCTAAGCACCTTCAACATGCAAAGCCTGAAGTGCTCTTCCCTATCGGAGTATTTCAGGTAATTTTGGAATGGGATTTTAGTCACATCCCAGCTCCCTAATGCAGCTAGACCAAGCCACTGGTGCCATTGAAATCTCCCTGTGCTCTACAGCAGTCACACCAAGGTGCCTGGAGGCTGACTATGGTGGTCAGCCCCGGATCAATATCACTTTCTACATCTCCTCAAAGTGAGTGTGGGTCATCTTGCTCTGGCTGCCCTTCATTGTTCTCCTGTCTGAGGGAAAAATCTACAGGTATGGCATGAAAATAGCTTTCTCCTGGGTGGACTTAGAGCCAGAGAATGGAACATGCTTTCCAGCAGGGAAGTTAGCATCCCTCCCATTCTGAATCCCTTCTAGCCCTTCCATCCCTGCCCCTCTGCCTTTGGAGCTCTCTGCAGAACCGACAGGTTTTGAGAGAGGTTCAGATCCCAAGAACCTGTGTGAACACTAGAACTCCACAGCACTGCTCAATAGCTGTGATTCCTGTAACAGAGGCAGAAAGAGGAGGCTGTGAAAAACTAGTTTCCAGAGAGTCAAGAGCAACTCTTTGTGTCATTCCAGGGCAGCAGAACTGCTGGCATGGAAGTGCACAAGTGATGCTGGCTCCTGCAATATGCATCTGCCATGTCTGTGGTGATGCTGGGTCCAAAGAGGCCCAGACACCTTGCCAAAAGACATAATGCTCCCTTCTCTCGGGGCAGGCTGGGAATCTGCCTAACAAACACACGGAAAGCAGCTGCTCTTAAAGGTTATCCAGAAGGGGAGCTATGAGTATGCACCTCAAGCCCAACTCTTCCCTGCAGCAGGGTCTTTTGGGGTCTGAACTGACATTAAGGCTAACACTGTCCACCCAAGGAAGGGCAAGTGAGAAAAGGAAGAGGACAGAGCATGAACAGAACTGGGGAGTAGAAAGCTGGAGCATGAAGGATGCTGGGGGTGTGACTGCTTGTATCTGAGTTCATTGCTTTGGTGGATGGTGGTAATCAGCCTGCAGAAGGTGTCTGGGAGGCTGGCTGGAGTCTCCCATATCCTGTCCTGAGGATAACCACATCTGTGCAAGGCGGGTGTGATGACACCGTGCAGAGAGCAGAGTCATGCTCTGAGCCAGGCAGCATCAAAGTGCCCAGAGGTTTCCAGCCCCTTCCCTTCTACAAGCCATACCTTCCTCTTGCTGCTCGCTGTCCAGCAACGCCATGGCCTCCATTTCTTCCTCAGACACCACCTCATCCACATCCACCACCGTGGAGGTGTGCACCCTCCCATCAGTGCCTGCAGTGCTCTTGGTCTCCTTTGCTTTCTCCTGCTTTACGTCTCCCTTTCCTTTCCTGGCTTCTCTGCTGCTCTCCCTCTTCTCTCGTTTGCTCTGTGTAGCTGGGGAATCTCTGCGTCTTCTAGGAGACTCCCTGGAATTGCTCCGGGATCTCTTGTCCATCCTCATGTGTGCCGAGGCGCTCAGCTGCCTGTGGCAGTAGAATGAGTGTGTGCTTGAATTTATTGCTGCAGGCAGGGGAGGAGAGAAGGGGAGGTGGCACATCCAGGAGGCTTGTTTCAAGTTTAGGGTTAGGGCTTGTCAGGCACAAGCTGTTTCCCAGCTGCTCTGCTCTCATGGCACACTGCTGTGGAGATGGGAAGGAAGGTTAGACCTGGGCAGGGTGGACCCCAGGAGGACATTCTGTTTGCATCTTCCTGCTTTTAGAAATAAAATATAATCAGAAGCACTCAGATGGTTTTTAGTAGATGGTTTCTGCAAAGCTGTTGAAAAAACACAACCAAAAAGTAACTAAGATGTGACCGCAAAGACCTCAAATGGTGAGAGTGGCCCAGAATAGGCACCAAGGTGAAAAACCTTTGCTGGTGAGACCAGTGGCTTACTCGGGAGTGTTTGGAGGGGTGTTGCAGAGAACAGCTGGGTGAGCACCATCTCACCCTCTGTCTCCAGGAGCCCTTTGGCGAGCACAGCAGAGGGACATTGGCAGGAAACCCTCTCTCTAGGGTCACCTCACATTTTAGCAGGGAGGGAGATCGGTTGGTCCCAGTTGAGCTATGAACTTTCCTGGATGGGTACAAAACATGGTGACCTACCATCACAGGGTTAGGGCTGTTGAATCTAAATTGCCAAAAGAGTTTGTGCCTAAATGCCTCCCTGGTTTTCCACAGCAGGAGTGTGGCAGAGCAAACATAGGAGCTTTGTCTTTTCATACCGCTCAGCCTGGGGTGACATCTGCAGAAACCTCTGCAAGAAACACTTTAACAGTTTATTACAGTCACTGACTATTAAAGGAAGCAGCACCTGGCTAGAAATCATCCTCCAGCAAGACACAGCTGGGACACAGAGCAGGGCCGTGCTGAGCTCAGGGATTCCCAGTCTCTGGCGCGGAGGAGCGGCCGGAGGGAGCTGGGAAGCTAGCTGGGGAGGTGCTGCTCTTGTTTGTTCATGGATTCCTGTTTTATTGGAGACTTGTTGCCCACCCAGAGTCAGGATATTGCAGGCAGGGAGGGCAGGAGCACCAGCCACTGCTTCTCTGCCCTGTCGTGCTGGGTGCCTTGTCAGCAAGTCACTGGGGAAGGGATGGATGGAGAGGGTTGAAGGCAGAGAAAAGTTGTAATCCATAAATTCATAAAAGTGTAATCCATAAATTCATACAGTGTATTTGCTTTGGGAGTGCTCCAGAAACCTTTTTCACATTGTGTGTACCACTTTGCCAACATGGGGCTGGGAGATGGTCTCCAGCTGCTGGAAGCAGCAGCTCAGGTCTGGTTTTGGCTCCTGGTTGGTTTCTTGTTGGAAACACCGTGGTATATTTCACACCTCCAAACCTGCAACTTGCTGTTTTTCTCTGATGTTTTATTCCACCTATCCCTGGGGGATGTTTTTGGCTGCCCCCTCAGCACGGGGGAGATGCTCTGAGAGCAGGTGCTGCTGGGCACCTTTGTCTTCCCAAAACTCACAGCCTCAGCTCCTGTTTCATTCTGAAATGTACTCCTGGGTGGAAATCAGCTGTGCTGCTGAGGGGCTTTCTCCAAAGTCTATGAGCTCTTAGCAAACAGCCATTGTGCCCCAGTTGACCACCCCTTGTGGCCTCAGGAACATCACTCAGTGTCAGCACTGTGGATTTTAATCTCAGACTGGGCTAAAAAATACAAGTATATTAATTAATTACGGTGTTTGGGTCAACCAAGACCAAGGTAATGAACTTTATAATCTGCAAACTGGGTAATGATCTGAGCCAAGACATATATATGTAAGGAAGACTCAAAATTCCTGGCAAGGACACTAATGGACATCTGTTCAACAACCACAAGGGACCACCAGGGGCTATCCAAACCCCCCATGGAAGATCCACAAGGAGCCACCAACTCAAGAGTGATAATTAGCATAAGAAGCAAGAGTGGATAACTAACTAGTAGAGGACAAAAACCTAATTAATAAGAGTTAGGTACCTTGTGCCCAACGAGCACTGATTTCCTTGTTTTCTGAAACACATGAAAAGCTTGGAGAGTTGGGATGCAGCTTGAAGGAGCATCCCCCAGCGCTGCACTAATAAATAATGCCTGTGCTTAATACTACATTGGAGTTAAGGGGTTTGAGTCCTGATTTCAGTGAGAGAATGGCTGAGGGGAATGGCTGAGGGGAATGGGCACCACCTGCCTCAGCGCTGAGGGGGAATGAGCACCTGCCTCAGGTGCTGAGGGGAATGGCTCAGGGGGAATGGCACCTAGCACAGCACTGAGGGGAATGGCTGAGGGAGAATGAGCACCTGCCTCAGGGCTGAGGGGGAATGACTTGAGGGGAATGGCTGAGGGGGACTGGTCACCTGCCTCAGTGCTGAGGGGAGAATGGCTGAGGAGAATGGGCACCACCTGCCTCAGCACTGAGGGGGAATGAGTACCTGCCTCAGGGCTGGAGGGAATGGCTGAGGAGGAATGGGCACCTAGCATAGCGCTGAGGGGAATGGCTGAGGAGGAATGGTTGAGGAGGAATGGGCACCTGCCTCAGGGCTGAGGGAAATGGCTGAGGGGGAATGGCTGAGAGGGAATTGGCACTTGCCTCAGTGCTGAGGGGGAAATGGCTGAGCGGAACGGCCACCACCTGCCTCAGCACCGAGGGGAATGGGCACCCGGCACAGCACTGAGGGGAATGGCAGTGGAGAAAGGGCACCCAGCACAGCACTGAGGGGAATGG